CCGGACGGATGGCCGGTTCGGCCCTCGCGCCTCCGCCTGGAGGGTCACCCCACGGGCGTGGGGACGGTGGCTCTACTCCCGCGCCTGGTCAGCGTTGCCATGGTGACAGGAGCCACCTCGCGCTCGGGAATTGTCCCGGAACTGTGCTGAGTGCTTGAGGGATACTGTCTTAACTTCAGCCCCGGCGCCCTGTTCCACCTCGCCTTACAGGTGGGGGGACCTCCGCCCTCGCGTAGCCAGGCGGGGCACAGGGGACTTTAGCTCCGGCGCCTTTTCTGCGGCTCCTGACCCCTGGCGAGGTCACCGGGCCACCTGGACTTGCTGAGGAGTGGATCGGAGCACTGGACAAATAAGATTAGCGGTTGGCGAAGAGGGGTCATGGGTACAGGGTCTGTGCCCAGGCTCCTGGAGGGGCGTACGGATCCTTCGGTCAAAAGAGCAAAGGCTTGACAAACTAATCGGCTGTGGCTGTTTTCTTACCGTTAAATTAACCTGAATTTCCTTTTGCTTTGCGGACAGTTATTTAGGGTGGCACACCTGGAAATTATTTTAAAGCGTTAGTTTTTGAGAAAGATACCCACTAAAACGAACAGAGCTCCCTGGGTGCCCCAACCCCCCCACCCCCAATTCTGCCTGCTGCCTGTTTTTGTAGGGACTACGAGCCAAGACTGTCTTTTACTTTTTTAAATGGTCGGGAGAAAAGACAAAGAATGGCACAGGAAAATGATATCAAAGTAAAACTTCATTGTCAAGTTTTATTGGAACGCAGCTGTGCTTTTTCATTAACGTACTGTTGTTGGCTGCTTTTGTTTTGCAGCCATGAGCTTGAGTGGTGGTATGTCTCAAAGCTGAAAATGTTTACTCTTCTGCCCTTTAGAGAAAACAGACTCTCGTACTAGAAATGTTAAGTCTGGTTTAGGAATTTGGGAAGAGCATCTCGGCTTAATGCAAACTGTGACGTGTATGAGTAACGTTGTTCTTTGCTTGAAATTCTAAGAACTGTCATAGCACTAATGCTGTTTTAAATAGGCTCGTACTAGAAGGAATTACATTTTTTAAGTAAATAGAACAAGAGAAAAATCTGTCGAAATCCTTGAGTGAGGGATGCTAGAATTTCAACGGTATTTCATGCTAATATCTTCCTTATTTTCAGATGTCGTGGCTTATGTGGAAGTGTGGTCAGCCAACGGAACAGAAAATTATTCAAAGACGTTTACAAACCAACTGGTGGCTATGGGGGCAAAGGTAAGTTCATTTTGCAGTTGCTACATATGCTAGTCCTCTGGTACATGATGAAATATATTTGCATTTTCTTGGGAGTTATTTCTTAGAACGTGAAGGAAAAAGAAGACAGTGGGTAAATGGCAGGAGAAAAAGAGAACCATGGGTACGAAGAATTTCGAACCATAGTGTTTGGTCTGTGCTTATGAGGGGGGAGAACTCCAGGGTGAAAAGGTGGACCCTGCCCATTGGGTACCGTGATGCTGTTGAGCAAAGTGAGGAATGCAGGGACAGGAACAGGTTTTAAAGGCTGTGAACTGGGGCCTAGTGGAAATATCTGATCGACATTTGGGTATACCAATCTGGAACTCGAGGTAGTCAAGGCTAGAAACGAGGTTTTAGGGCTCCAGAGTCTAGGGGTGGGGTGAGGCCGAGGACGAGTCAAAGACCCAGGTGATGAGAAGGCGACGTCCCGGAGGTGGAGCCTATCGAGTATTTCAGGGGCTGCCAACGGGGCGGTGGAGTCAGCGACAGAGGTAGAGAGGAATGCCAGGAGAATCTGGGAAACAGTCTGGAAGTTAGGAGGGCGGACCCCAGTGATGGAAGTTTGAAGCTCTGCAGCCCCGTCCGGACAGTTGAGACTAGCGGTGCCTTAGATTTGAGGACTAGCGCAGAGATCACGGTTGCGTGTAGTGCAGTTCCCGGGAGCTGCCTAAAGGGGGTGGAATTGGTGCGGCAGTCCCTGGAGTGCTCAGTCCTTGGGGTACACGGAACAGAGGTGGGGAGAGCGGACTGCTGCTGGGGAGTTTGGCTGTGAACACAGTGCGTGTGTGTGTGTGTGCTGGGGGACGGGCCTGAGAGGTTGGCGTGGGTGAGCAGATCCATGAAGGCAGGGCCAGGGATTAGGGCGAGGTGGAAGAGGCGCCCGGGGCTTGAAACCTCGGGGTGCCCACCTCAGGAAAGAG